TCCTCCTCCTCCTCCTCCTCCTCCTCCTCCTCCTCCTCCCCCTCCTCTTCCTCCTCCCCCTGTGGGGGAAGAGGAGGATGACTGGAGATGAGAGGGCCGAGGAGCGCAAGGACGAGGAGGAGAAGGAGGCGGAGGAGGAGGAGGAGGAGGAGGAGGAGGAGGAGGAGGAGGAGGAGGAGGAAGAGAAAAAGGAGAAGGAGGAGGAAGAGGAGGAGGAGGAGGAGGAGGAGGAGGAGGAGGAGGAAGAGGCGGGGAGGGCGAGGAGCAGGAGGGGGATCGGGTCAGGGAGGGCGGGGGGCAACGAGGGGGGGATCATGGGCGAAGGAGGGAGGTTAGGGAGGAGGAGGCTCGGACGCCAGGCTGTCCGAGGTCACGGACTGCAAGACCCCAGCGCCGGCGTTCTCCTGCGGGGGCCCCGCTGGAGTCGGGAGGGGCGCGGGGGGGAGGTCGAGGTCGACGTCGAACGCCGGTGTGGCTGAGATCTGCATTCTCGGCACGATTGCCATGGCAACATATCGTTCTCTTACTCATGAAGGCCAAGAAGATGGGAATGCACCAAATACAAACGAGAATCAACGGAGCTCTCTGTTTCGCTGATTCTTCGCTGGGGGGTCGATGAAGGAGGAGAGAGTCATGATAAGAGCAACGCTCGGGGGGAGAGGGGACTGGCCCAGGGCGATGCATCGCCGACACATGGGTGGCAGGCCACCGATACCGAAGACGCACGTGCCTGGGTGGGGTGGGATATCGGGCCCCTGTCGGCGATCAATAGGCGATTGCGGGTCTAAGCGAGCCCTCCACCCCTCCTCCTCCCCTCCTCCTCCTCCTCCTCCTCTTCCTCCCCCTCCTCCTCCTCCTCCTCCCCTCCTCTCTTCTCCCTCCTCCCTTTTCCCTCCTTCCTCCTCCCTCCTCCCTCCTCCCTCTCCCTCCTCCCTCCTGTTCTCCTCCTCCCTCCTCCTCCTCCTCCGCCTCCGCCTCCGCCTCCGCTCCTCCTCCTCCTCCTCCTCCTCCTCCTCCTCCTCCTCCTCCTCCTCCTCCTCCACCCTCCCCTCCCTCCCTCCCCCATCCCTCCCTCCCTCCCTCCCATCCCTCCCTCCCTCCCTCCCTCCCCGCCCTCCCCCCTCCCTCCTCCCTCCTCCCTCCTCCCCTTCTCCCCCTCCTTTCCCCCTTCCTCTCCCTCCTTCCCTCCTCCCTCCTCCCTCTTCCTCCCCCCCTCCTGTTCTCTCCTCCCCTCCTCCCTCCTCCGCCTCCGCCTCCGCCTCCGCCTCCTCCTCCTCCTCCTCCCCTCCTCCACCTCCTCCACCTCCTCCTCCTCCCTCCCTCCTCCCCCTCGCCTCCTCCCCTCCCTCCCTCCCCCCTCCCCTCCCTCCCCTCCCTCCCTCCCCCTCCCCCTCCCTCCCGCCTCCCTCCCTCCCTCCTCCCTCCCTCTCCACTCCTCCCCTCTCTCCTCCTCCCCTGCCACTTTTCCTCCTCCCTCCCCCTCCTCCTGCTCCCTACTCCCTCCTAACCCCCTACTCCTCTCCCACCCCTCCTCCTGCTCCCTCCTCCTCCCTCCCCTCCTTTCTCCTCCCTCAGCCATCCTCCCTCCTCCCTCCCCTCCTCCCCTCCCCTTCCCTCCTCCCTCCTCATCCTCCTCCTCCTCCCTCTTCCCTCATCCTCCTTCCCCTCCCCTCCTCCCCCCCTCCCCCCTCCCCTCCACCCAGGACCGTCAGCAGGAGCCACCCGAGTCAAGAAGCGCGCCCGCCCCCCCCTCTCGCCACCCCCCCAAGTGAGGACCGTCTTTAGGCCTCACCCGTAAGGACCGTCAATAGGCCTCACCCCCCCGCGCAGCTTCCATCATAGGAGTTGCGTGGGCCCACCCCACACACACACCTTTACATGAAGGCGTCAACAGCCACCGGAGGGAGCCGAGGACCTCCCTGCAGCCCCTCGGCCAAGAAAGACGGCTGCAGGAAGGGGTCCAACGTACCTCCAGACCTTTTCACCTTCACGTTCTGGCGTCAATTGCCACCCGCTCGATGTTCCTCCCCCCTTCCTCCCTCCCTCCATCCCCTCCCCCTTCCCTCCCTCCCCCCTCCCTCCCTCCTCCTCCTCCTCCTCCTCCTCCCTCCTCCGCTCCTCCTCCTCCGCCTCCTCCTCCTCCTCCTTCCCTCCTCCTCCTCCTCCTCCTCCTCCTCCTCCTCCTCCTCCTCCTCCTCCCCCCTCCCCCCCCCTAACCCTGCCCCTGACATGAGGACGAGGGGAACGGGGGACGGACGTCCCCCGCAAAAAAGACGCCTCGGGTCGGCGCTGAGGCCCCGGCAGCGGCAGCCCCAGACCTCCGAGAAAAGGCGTGCTTCTGCTGTGTGACCATGTTCTGATTCGGCGTTTTGACATTGGGCGGAGTCGCGGGGAGAGGGGGGGGGTCTGGCTCCAGACCACCACTGAATGCCAAGGTTTACAAAAGTGCGTCCTGTGGGGGGGACTCCACCTGCCTGGAACAGGAGCGAACACAGCAGAGATCTACTCCGTGGGGTGGGGGGAGGGGGGGTGCGAGGGCCCGCGCCGATCGGCCGAACAATGGATAAGAGAACGATCGCTGTTCGAGCCCAGCGCTGCTACACATCCCCGGCTAGGGTCGGGTGTTGCCAGGAGTGCCCCCGGCCCAGGGTGCCCCCAGGGTTTCCGAGGAGGCCCCCACGGCCTGCGGAGCACCCCTCACGACGCCCGAGATGGCCCCAGGGGCTCCAGAGGTGAGCGAAAGGCTGGGGGCACCTTGGGCCAGGGGCACCTTCAGCAACCCCCGACATTGGAAGCCAGTGTCCCAGGAGCCCAGGGGGCCCTGGGGTATGACACACACCCACCGCCTGCTGAGGTAGAGGCAGGTCGGCGCCCCTGGCGGTGAGCACGTGTGCTTGAGCCAGTTACTCATCACTGGCAATTGTACCCAGACGTCCGATGTCTTAACTTGTCCCATCAGAGGCCGACTCTTTCTTCAGGGCCGGCTTTTGAACCCGAGTCGGTTTTTGACAGCCCTGGAGTCCGAAGATGGCCCCCAGATGCCCAAAACGGCGAAAGGCCTTCGCGCTTTTTTTTCTGGTCAGCACGCTGGGAAGTCTGTGTGTGCTCTCCTCGGCCCCCGCTGGCTTCACGCAACAGCGGCACTGGGCAAGAGTCTTTTGGTGCGCGCACGGCCCCAGGCGGCCCCAAGGGGGGGGGAGGCCCAAATCCAAGCGCGAAGGCCAATGCGGGCGAGCCCCTCTGGGCCCCGACCAAAGGCATGATGACCCAAGATCGACTCGGAATATCGGATCGGATATCGAAAGACATGGTATCATCAGAAATGGGCAAGTAAGTCGAAGGGCATCGGAACCGACGCACAGCGGCCCAGTACCGAGGTCGGAATTCGGAGACGAATCGAATCGACATCGAAATCCTCAAAATCGAGTCGATTCTAATCGATAGAGTCCAATCCGCCTGTAGCGAAGGGTCACCCCTATGCGCAACTGCGCTTCGTTCAACTGAACCCTATCTCCACTGGCATGGTCTGGGCCCCACTGGCCGACTTGCCCCCCCTAGATGGGGATATAAGTTGCTCCCTTCGGGTCTCGAGTGGCATATCCCCAGTTGGGGTAGGGGGATGCGGACACAAGCCCCCTCCCCTTAACTGACGCAAAGGCCCCTAACCTAAAGCCGCCCCCGCCGGCCATGGACCCGGCACTTTTGAACGTAACCTTACGCCATGTGGTTACCATGACGCCACCCCGCCGGCACCCAACATTGGGGCGAGAGTCAGGTTAGGTGTCCGGCGCCAGGTTAGAGGAGGAGGAGGAGGAGGAGGAGGAGGAGGAGGAGGAGGAGAAGGTGGAGGAGGAGGAGGAGGAGGGAGGACGAGGGAGGAGGGAGGAGAGAGGAGGATGGAGGAGGGAGGAGGAGGGAGGAGGTGGGAGGAGGGAGGTAGGAGGAGGGAGGAGGGAGGATATAGGGATCGGTGCAGCGACGCTGCGTGGCCGAGCCGGGGTCCTCCAGCGTGCGCGGCACGGCGCCGCCCTCGCTCTGCAGCTTGCCCACCAGCCAGCTCTTGCCCGCCGCCGTGGCGCCCACGAAGCCGACGGCGGCCGCCGGGCGGTCCTGCGGGGGGGCACGGCCCAGGCCCAGCCTCGGGTCGGGCACGTCCTCCTAGAGGCGGATTTGGGACGAGAAGTACAGTAGAGTCAAAAAAGATCTTCGACAACCGTCAAACAAAGATATTCAAACAACTAGTTCCCAGACTATTGTGGACTATTCTTGGATAGTCCTCCTGTAGAAAACCACAATTATTTGGAAAAATGCAGACTACTCTTCAATAGAATTTGCGAAACCATTATGATCTGGGAAAATGTATCCCGATGGCCGACGGTTGCTCCTAATTTTCGAGAGCTCTGCTGCAGCCACAGCCCCAAGACTTTCACCACTGAACGCGCAAGAATCGACTGCAAGGAAAAAAATCGGGTTTCCTGGAACGAATGGTCAAATTTCTCACAATGTTCGCCCAACCGACCTAAACTTCACACATTGTCCGCCCGGACCGGATGGGCCAACTAGCTGCGCCTCAGGTCGGGCATGTCCTCCTAGAGGCAGATGTGGGACGAAGAATCAAATGGAGTCAAAAAAAATCTTCGACAACTGTCAAACAAAGATATTCAAACAACTAGTTCCCAGACTAGTGTGGACTATTCTTGGATAGTCCCCCTGTAGAGGGACGACGTGCCCGACTTCGGCCCAGCCGTCGCCGCCGCCGCCGTCCACTCCGTCGCCGTCGCCGTCGAGGTCGTCGTCGTCGCCGTCGTCGTCGTCGCCGCCGCCGCCGTCGCCGTCGCCGTCGCCGTCGCCCTCGCCGTCGCCGTCGTCGTTGCCGTCGTCGTTGTCGTCGTCGCCGTCGAGTCTTGCTGATGCTCCTCCTCCTCCTCCTCCTCCTCCTCCTCCTCGCGGCCAGGGCCCTGGGGCGGAAGGGCAAGCACACATCAGCTTGGGAACGGCAAAGGGCCTGCGCTGCGCGAGGGGCACTGTCTGGGGAAAGCCAAGTGGGGGGGGACGCAACCGAATCCCGTGACAGTGGCAGTGCCCCCCGCAGGGGCATCCACACGAGGGCACTGTGAGCGGGACGGGGCCAGAGCAGGGCTGCACCCAAACGTTGTGTTTGTTTCGTTATGTTTTCGCTCTGCTTTTTCGTTTTGCGCCACCTGTCTTCTTGTGCCTCCCTGCCACAAACGAAAAGCACAGCCGAAGTCCAACAAAACAGCGTTTGGGTCCAGCCCTGGACCAAAGAGTGCCCAAAGCGACGGGAATCTGCCGATTTTGAACTGGGGGCGGATGTACGCCCAGGGTGCAAAAACTAGGCTCGAGCTCAAGATCATGACGATGATGGTGCCCACGTGTCGGTGATGAAAGTTTTGAAAGGATTTCGACCAGCGCGCGCGGCCGACGGGCGCGAGTGGCCCGCATGGTTTTATTTCACAAGGATCGTGCCCCCTTCCGGCACGCGCGCAGGGGCGCGCGCGAAAGGCCCGTTTCGACATTTCGACGGATTTGGTGAAGATGTTGGAAAACCGATGGTTCACTTAAGGATTCGCAAGAGCGCGCGCGCAGACGTTTCTTGAACAACCATGCTGCAAAACCATGACGTTTCACATGTTCACGAGACACTCAATGTTAGAAATCGCTACGAGACCCAAGGTGTTTCAAAGGAGTGCGGCATGCGCGCGCGACGTCGCGCGCGTGTGGGCTTCGTTATCTGTTTTGCATGGGGCCCATCACACTTATAATCTTAGATAAACGAGTGTGCGCGCATAGAATCAGCTGACAAGGATGACTGGTCCAGTCTATACCGGGTCAGCTGGGATGACTCATGGGGCATCATCATACGTAAATTGCACATCCCCAGCGCGAGCGGATAATCCGTGGGGAGGGGCGGGTAGATCCTATTTCTCTATTAGGAAAGGGATGTGTTGTGCAATCTATGTGGAGGAATCTACGCGGTAAAAATCAACGGGGAGGCCACGGCGAGCACATAGCCGCCAGCGCCAGCCAGGCCCAGACGACGGGCGTCGACGAGGCGGCGACGGGGCGGCGACAGCGAGCAAGGAGCCGCAAAACCGCAAGGCAAGCCCAGCCTCCCAGAAAAGAAATGGAAACCCCTAAATACAAAGACGGTTGGGGGAATCGTCAGGAAGCATCAGGCGGGAGCCGCTGCTGTGGCACACTGGGGGCGAACAGCAGTGTGGAGCCCTAGAGCGCCTCGTGTCAAAAACAGGGTGCGAGCCCTGTGGCCGGCACTTTTGCTGAGAAAACAGTTGGCACCGGAGGCTCAACAGATCCTGGTCGGCCGCGCGCACGTGGCGCGCCCAGTTCTCCACCACGGGCGACAGTGCGTAGCCGGCCTCCCAGCGCCTCGCGGGGCCCAGACGCGGCAAGGGGGCGGCTCAGCCCCAACTTCAAGCGTGCTCTCAAACAGTAGTCCAGGTCCAGATGCGAGACGAGCTACAAAAACGCCCATGGCACAAACCAAATTCTTACATTTCCTTAACGAAATCTGGAGTCCACGAGACATGCGACTTTCTATGAAGATGTCCGATGGGTGTATAGCAGATATCGGGCGGTAGTTTTTCTCCCGATCTAAGCGCCCGAGGAACTCACATTTTCAATCCTGGCGTTTTCGCTCATTATTTTCGGCGTCCGAGCGCCGATTCACGGCCCCATGGGCAATCGAACGCAGAAACGCGGGAAGAAGCTGCCAACAACAGACTGCCCTCTGGTCGGGACCTCCGCATGGCCGCGGATTCAAAGAAACACCGTCGGATGTCGGAGACGGAGGGCGTGGGGGGCTAGCGGATGATGGAGGAGGCGGAATAGGAGGAAGGGGGAGAAGGAGGAGGGAGAAGACGAGGAGTTGCAAAAGGATGGGGGGGAGAAGATGATGATGATGATGATGATGATGATGATGATGATGATGATGATGATGATGATGATGATGATGATGATGATGATGATGATGATGATGATGATGATGATGATGATGATGCTGATGCTGATGCTGATGATGATGATGATGATGATGAGGAGGAGGAGGAGGAGGAGGAGGAGGAAAGGGAGGAGGAGGAGGACTTGGCAGGCTCCTAATCAAACGCCTGGAGGCCCCCGATCAAAGAACAGGGCCTGCAGCTGGCTCTGCCGGCGCATCCCTGCGACGGAGGCGCCCGCCCTGTGGCGCGGGCACGCGCCCACACCCACCGCCCGGGGGGGTGGCCGACGACGCCTGGGCGCCCCGTGGGCGGTGGCTGTGGGCCCGGTGTGGCTATACAGGGCAGTTTGTAATACATCGGATTTTTAGAAATATAAGATTTTGAATGCATGACCACTTTGTGAAACAAATTTATATATGCATGTGGGCATTCTGAGAAGTTTTCTGGACCTTCCCCGAAGGCTCAGAAAACTTTTCAGAAGGCACGACGGCTGCTGAGAAGTCCCACCACCTCCTGAGAAGGCCTTCTCCTTCTCACTTCCCCCCCTCGCTCGCCGCCGATTACCCAGACATGCGACGTCCTGATTTTTTCAGGACGGCGTCCCGGGAAGTCCCGACCCTTTCCCTGGGACCAGTGTCTCGTCCTGAGTCCCTAAAGATTTCTGACGGTCCCATGCAAGGCCTGGCGAGGGCCCCCCTGGGCCGAAAATAGCCAAAAACCTCCCGTCCTGCTTCTTGATACGACGCGATATCATGTCTGGGGACATGTCCGCCCCACCCCCCCTCCCAATATTGGTCCGGCCCGGGCCTCCCGGAGCGCACCCGGCAGTCCAGCGTCGGCGCCGGGACCAGCCGCAGCAGCCTGTCTGTCCGGCCGAGGGCACTTGGCGGTGGACAGACCTCCGTTTAGTAAACCTCCCCTTGCCGAAAATTAGCCTGGGACCGAAACCGACGGACCTGGACCCGCAAAAATGACGGCCGCGACGCCCTCTCGCGAACCGACAACGGCCAATTCCTCAATCGACGTGTCAGGCTAGAAGGTCTGTCCACCTCCGAGGCACGCCCGCGCCCCCGAGGCGGCCGGAGCCACATCGGGGCGGCCGGCGTTTGCCGCCGCTCGGTCGGCCTCGGGGGGGCCTCGGTCGCGGACCCCTGCGGGACCGTCAAGGGACGACGCGGGGTAAAGGAGAGGGAAAAGAAGAGAAGAAACTGCAGATGAAGGAGGAGAGGAGGAGGAGGAGGAGGACGAGGAGGAGCAGGAGGAGGAGGAGGAGGAGGAGGAGGAGGACGAGGAGGAGCAGGAGGAGGAGGAGGAGGAGGAGGAGGAAGAGAAGAGGAGCAGAAGGAGGAGGAGGAGGAGGGGAGAGGAGGAAAAAGAAGAAGGAGAAGAGAGGAGGAGAGGGGGAAGTGGGAGGAGGAGGGGGCTGGGAGGCCGGCCCCTCGGGGGAAGGCTTCGAGAGGTCGGGGGCCCTCGCGTCGACCAGAAGCGGAGCACGGGCCGGACGTGGAGCATGGAGCCCACGGGCGAAAGACGGAGTGGCGACCCCAATCCCCGACGTGGTGGGACCTTCGACGGGCCCAGCTCGGGGATCTACGACATACGGCGGGAGGGGGCGTGCATCCTCGAAGGGTGTGCGTCCTGATCCGCCACCGTGCCGCTGGGCACGGAGTGCGCCTGTCCTCAGATCCTCTTTGCCAAATTCCTGAAGCGCTCTCGCGGGGTCTTGAGGGGCCGGGGGCCGCTTGGGATTGTCGCGCGCTCCCTCGGGTTTCTCGTCGCTTCTCGCGTGACATGTCCGGGCCCCAACAGAGCCCAAGACGGGACAAGAGGGCTGCAACAGGCCCCCCAAAACGGTCGAAGAGGGCCCCGAAGCGCCAAACGATCGCACCAAGACAACCAAGGTAGTCCCAAAACGGCCCAAAAGGCCCAGGACGCCCCAAGAGAGCCCCAACAGCCTTCCCAAGGGGGCCCCGAGAGGCCAATATCATTAATTTCCCACAAGTGTTGCAATGATTTGTGGTGCATCGACTCTTCGAGCTCCCAACGCTCCAAGACGGTCCAAGAGGCCACCAGGACCGCCCCAAGACAGCCCAAGAGGCCCCCAGGAGGGCCCAAACACGACCCAAGAGGGCTCCAAGGCGGCCCCGGAGGCGCCCACGACGGCCCAAGAGGGTCCAAAAACAGCCCCCAGAAGGCCCGATGAACCGAACATCCGAAGTTTCCGCCCCAAGCGGCCCCCAGGAGGCCCCAAGAAGGCCCCAGGATGCCCCCCAGAGGCCCCAAGAGATCCCCAACAGGCCCCAAAGACGCCCCAAGAAACCTCGAAACGGCCTCCAAGAGGTTTCAAACCAGCCCCCAAGAACCCTCCGAGAGGCCCCCCGCGGCATCCCAGCGAACATCCTAACAGACCTGCGACGCACAACCCGGGTACGGTGGCGGGATCGGCCGAGAGCCATGAGACACCCAGAAAGACAAGTCGATCCAGCCTGTAAAACAAACGTGTTGACATTCATTTCGTTGCCACGAAGATGAGATGCAAGAGGAGGAAGATAATGGCAAAATGAAAAACATGGGGTGAGGGAGGATGAGGGGGAAGGGAAGGGAGGAAGGGAATGATGCAAGAGGAGGAAGGGAAGGAGGAAGAGATGCAAGAGGAGGAAGGGAATGGCGAAAGGAAGAACATGGGGTGAGGGAGGATGCCGTTGCTGATGGGGTGAGGGAGGAGAGGGGAAAAGGAGAAGCAGGACAAAGAGAGGGGGAGGTGCACGGAGAGAAAGGACCAAGAAGGGGGGAGGCAGTGCGGGAAGGAGTCTTGCTTATTCCACCCTGTCTGGTCTTGGCCCAGGCCAGAATCCAATCAGAACTGGTCGCGGGATCCCTTTCGGGGTGCCTCCTGGCAAATTCCTGGCTGCGCCATGCCGCAGCGTCGTGAACCCCCAGAAACGTCCAGAAACATCCAAAACAACGACACCGACAGAGACGCTTCGGCGGCCCATTCGAGCGGGGGCACTCGCCCAGCCGAGTGCGCGCTACCTTATGCTCCCCCTTGGCCGTGGGAAGGTCGCGCGCTGAAGCCAGGCGCCTCGGGCTGGTCGTGGTTGCGCGGCCGCGCCAGCGCTGCTGCGCAAGATGCCCGCGACAGGGGCCCAGCCACCTGCTGAGAGGGCCGCGAGGGCAACCATCCCCGAACCATCGCGTCGCCTACGCGGGTCGCCCGGATGCTTCCCCCCCTTGCCCGCCCCGCAGAGTCGCGCGGTTGCCGCCTCGGCCCCTCGGGGCCAGGGGAAACGCCTCCGAACTCGGAGCGGTGAAGAGGGACGTCGAGGTCTAAGGCGGGGGCGGAGTCAGACCTGCTCAGGGGGCCTCGCAGCCAGAAAGATGGACAAACCTTGTGGGCCACCCCTGCGCTGGGAATGAGATGCCTAGTCCCATGATAATCTGGGTGGCCTCAGTTACACTCGCAGGCCCATCGTATGTGAAACAGTGTTTGCATTCCTTTGCGGCATCTCACGCAAAACTGGGGCTCCAGCTCGCGTCCCACGTCGGCCTGGCGGGCCCTGGCCCACTGTGGCGACGGCCATGTTGAGGGCCCAGAGGTCGTGGTTAACGTTGGCCTCGGAGCGCCGCTGCTCCTTCTGCCTTTGGAGGGCGTCGGCGCCTCGCCGAGCCAAGTCGTCTGCGCCTTGGTCGGCGGCCGCGCCAGGCCGCAAACGGCCGTCGACGCCCCCCTCGACTCCGTCCAAGACTGCAGCGGACGCACGCAGGGGCGCTCGGCGTTGGCGCCAGCGGCCCAGAGCCTGCGCGCGGCCTTCTTGAGACGAGCGCGGCGCCGCAGACGACGAACGGCTCCGGCGCTGGGGGCAGCGCCCTTCATTTCCTGCTTCCCTCGCGCCCTGGCGCGGAAGCGGGCGGCGTTGCAGTCCGCGCCGAGGTCGGCGAATGCAACCCTCGCTCTGGCGGGGGCCCCATTCTTTTTGGGGCTCCCCGCGATGTCCACCAGCAGGCGTGCGACGCTGGTCACCGCAATCGTCTTCTCCGAGATCGCGTCCTCTTCGTGGCCCCCTGTGCGCTGCGACCCGGCTCAATCGCGCTCTCCGCCGCCGTCTGCTTCACCGCGTGGCCAGTGCCCTGGGCCCGCGCCGGACCGCGTCGTCCGCGCGCGCCCAGGGGTCGATGCGGCCCCGGTAGTCCAGCTGCGCGCAGAGGAGCGGGGGCCCCATAGAGGCCTCGGCCAGCTGCGCGCGGCGCGGTGACAGCGCCACGAGGGATCGCCCCAGGATGAACTTCCCGCTCAGCCACTTCCTCGCCTTCAGGGAGCGGGCGCCAGGGACATCTGCAGCTCCGTGCGCGACGCTATCGCGGGGTTGACTCAGCGCGTGTCGGAGGAGAACTGGGATGCTGATGCTGCCGGGGGACATGGCAAGGTCTCGCAGCAGCGTCGCGCAAGCCACTCCCAGTGTTCTCGCCGCCCCGCCCTGGCGAACACGACGCCTGCAATGCCGACGACCCCGCAGTCGCCGCGGCCCAGAACTCCCCCAGCTCCTCGCTCGACCAGGCCGCGACCGCGCCGCACAGCTTGCTCTGGGTCTTCGCGGCGAAGGGGGGGCCGCCCGAAGATGCCCCAATGGCCTCGGGAGCCACCGCACACGAGGCGCCAAAACCGAAGACGCGCCTGGGCCAGCAGACGCGCCCCTCAAACGCGTCGGGCGGCCGCGCCAACTCTGCGCGGCCTTCCCGCGGGGGCCTCTGGACCTCGAGCGGGCCCAGGGCGTCGATGCCCACCGCCTTCAACGCGCTGGTAGATGGGGGAAGGTTGCCCAGCCGCTCGATCGCCAGCGCCTCCTCGGCGACTCGCCGCGCGACCCCGGCGCCGCCCAGCAGCTGGTCGACTGTCGCCACGGGGTCGCTTCAGGCCGCCTCCCATTTGCCGGCTCGTCTATCCATGGTGGCCGCGGGGTCTGCGAAGAAGGTGGTCTTGTGGACGCGTTCGTCTTGCGGGATCAGCAGCGCGTCCCGCCGCGTCTCGGCGCGCCAAAGGTGGGCGCCGGGGGCCTGCTTCCACATCTTGGCGGCCGACTGCTTAAAGGACCTCCTCGACTTGGCTAGGCTGGTTTCAATGACACGCGCCTGGAACATGTTCGCCCTCTCGCAATGGGTCCGGGGCATCGTCGCTGGGCTGCGCCGACGTGTGCCTCGCCGACGCCGGCCAGGAGATCCACGGGTCGCCCTGGTCCGGCTTGAGCAAGGCATCAGCTCGAGCTCCTGCGCCGAGTTGGGCAGCTCCTCGGACTTCGCCGCGCAAGCCAGCCTCTCTGCCCGCCGCCCCGAGGTCCGCGGCAGGTGCGCCCTGCGGAGAAACGTGGTCGCGATCGCCCACCGATCCAGCAGCGGGCCCCCCGCGCGGGCCCCTGCCGGGGCAGCCTGGGCCCCGGCCCATCTGGAAGACGCGGGCCCGCCCGACGAAGTGGGCCCGCTGCCTCTCCTCGATCTCGCGGCGGCCCAGGGCCGCCTCCTCCACCGTGGCCATTCACTGGCCGAGTTTGTTGGGCGCTATGTGCGCGGCGACGGGGTCGCGCTCCAGCAGGTCGCATCCCTTCTCGCGCTTGCTGATGGGCACCCCCTTCGCCCTGATCCTGACCGCGCGCTGCCGTCGCAGAGCTTGTCGCAGGCGCCCTGCAGCGCCGCCTCCAACTCAGCGCGACGTCGATCGACTGCTGCTCGAAGGCCCTTCTGGCGCTTGCCGCATGATCGGGCGCCCCGGCCTGGCGGGGCACTGTTGGCAACTCCCCGGCTGCGGGCAAGCCCTCCGCAAAGGCGGTGGCGAGCCCGACGCGATGCCCCCGCGGCGCCTGCATCGCCGCCTGCAACTCGCATCGGTCCGCCGTGCCAGCCTTGACCATCGCGCAGTCGATCGAGCTTCCGCCGCCTCTGTTGCGCGCGCAGGCGCAGTTGGCAGAAGGGGGGGTCTCGCCGAGGAGCTTCCCGAGCCGCGCAAGGCCCACTCCCGCCCGCGCGTCGGGCATGATATGCCACCCCCGCAGCATGGGCCGCGGGCCACCGAGCTGCGCGAGGATCGCGCCCAACCTGGCGAGGGTCTTCTCGCTCGGGCCCCCGGGCTTGCGCGACGGGAGCAGGCGGGGCGAGATCGCCACCGGGTTGCCCCTCTTCAGATGCCAGGCCACGGGGGGGGCAGCCAGCGAAAGGGCCCTGCTTGTTCCCCGCAATGCCCGCCGCCCGCCAGGCCTCAAAGTTGGCAGTCGGCATGCGCTTCTTCGCGAGCAGCCGCCCGCCACCAGACGCTCCCGTCGCTGATCGCTGCGTGGGCCTTGCTGGCGTCGAAGCCACCTTCCACCCATCCTTGCAGAGCCGCGCGTGGGCCCCCTGTGTTTCGCGCCTGCAGCGTGAGTCTCCGCAAGGGCGATCGGGTCGCACTGCCCAGCCCGCCCCCGCGTGAAACCCTGGGCCCGCGGGCCCCATTCCGCGATGATCGAAACACAGAAATCACGGCATTCTCCGTCTCGGGCTCGTTACAGACAGGGCCCTCCCGCGCCAGGCCCGGCACGCGCCGCATCGGGAGCGGCGGCAGGGGCCGTCCCGCCAGAACAAGTGTGGCGCGCGCTGTTGCCACGACCTCGGCGAACTTGGCCTGGACCTGCTGCTCGAGCTCGGCGTTGGTGAACTCCAGACCTGTGGCGGCGAGCGAAACTCCTGCATCTGGAGCTCCAGCTGCCTCGGTCCCTCCTGCGCCTGTGGGCCCCGTCGCGGCGTCCCCCGCGCCATCCATGCCGGTGCTGTCCTCCTTGGGCCGCACCGAGTCGACCCGCGTGCGCTTCGCGGGCTTGGAGTTGTTCCCCAAGACCGTGCCGCGCAGCTCCTTGACCGAAGCCTCTCCCTGCACCGTGAATTTCCACGATTCCTCGAGAGCCGCACGGTGGACGTCCAGGTCCGCGCGCGACTCTGAATCGAGGTCTTCGATGTCCTCTTTGAGGAGGGCGGTGTCGTAGGCGAAGATGACGTTCTTGCCGTCCTTGGTGTAGCCGTCGGGTGGCTCCACTTGCTGCGCGAAGGAGCGGGCGGCCTCGTCATCCTCGGTCTTCGCCTGGAGCATATCCAGCAGAGATGCTTTGATATTGGCCTCCTTACCCTCGGTGAGCTGGGCCTCCGCTTTCGCGCGGGCGCCCGCAACCTGCGCCAGGACCCTTGCCCCAGCGGCGACCCTTGTCGCTGACCCACGGCGGGGTGTTGTCCGAGTTAACGGCTTGGCTTTTGCTTTTCCCCCTGTAGAAGTTCACCTGGCCGCCACACTTGATGCACTTCCCGCAGTTGCGCTCGATCCTGGAGTTGTAGGCCCACCGCTTGCAACCAGCACGCAGCGAGAATGGCTCACGAGCCCCATGGCGCTGCTGCTGTGGGGCGACAAGGACTTGGACCGACGCGATCTGAACGTCGGGATCAGGGCCCCGAGAAGAGGAGGGTCGAGGAGGAGGAGGAGGAGGAGGAGGAGGAGGAGGCGGAGGAGGAGGAGGAGAACGACGACGAGGAAGACGAGGAGGGGGATCGAGGAGGTCTGGGGGCGCCCTGCCCCCCAGCGAGCCTCTGGCCGGTGTCCACGTCGCGCGCCCCCGCCTCCGCCTCGGGAAAGGGGCGGCCACCGCCCCCGGCCGCCCTGCCTCTCCAATCCCTCTGCGGTCGGGAGCCTCCGCTCGCTCAGCGTGTCGCGGCGGCGGCCCCTGTGACACGCTATGCCCTGCGAGCCGATAGTGCGGGACGACGATTAATAAAAAAGGGGAGAGAACGATTAAACAAATAGTTTCCTGCCGTTTCTGCACAAGTTGATGGCTGGAGGAGAACGATTAGAAAATAGTATTCCAGCCCGCGGCCGGTTCTTTTCTAATAGTCATCCCGGGCGCCGCCGCGTGAACACGACCCCGGGTTCGGGTTTCCCTTAGGTTTTTGTATGGGAAATCGAAGTTTAACTTATGGAAAAGAAGGGCCTCGTTCCTTATTTAGGGTTCCTTAGGTCATCGCCCCGACTGTAGGATAGGAGAGCACCCTTCAAGAACTGAGACCCTCCGCTGGCCCGAGCTGAAGAACATCCGAGGGTGCCCTCCCCCCGGGATGCACCAGACCATCCAACCCACACGAAGAACATCCGGCCCCCCCCCCCGAACCGAACCGACCTCGATCTGATGCCTCGGTCGTGCCGCTCCGCGCCGCGGGACGGGAGGCCCGGCACAGCTCGGGACGTCGACGCTCGGGGACTGGGCCTCGGTCAGCCTGTCGCGCCAAAGCGCGATGGGCCGGCACCGGCGGCGCGCGACACGCGAGGCAAACGTTTCCCGGATAGCTTAAATCAAGGATGTTTGACTTCGACTCCTGGCCGAGCGTTCAGGTCGCCCGCCACCAGCCTGGAAGGCTGTCATCCATGGCGCCCTGGAATGGTGAGGCTTCGGGTGGCGCACGGACCGCCCCCCCAGGCAGCCCCCTCTGGCCTCAGCAGGCCCCCCGAGTAGTGTCAGCTTGCCTGCACAGGCCCCCCCGACTGGTCTGGGGCGGCCTCAACACCTCAGCCACTGGGCGCGGAGCTCTCCAGGGGCGCCGCCAGAGGCGGCGCCGGAGAGTGCTGAGGCCTGGAATCCGGGGGGACTGCGGGAGAGAGCTGCTGAATCCAGCTGGGGGCTCACTTCGGGAGCGGCCAAGGAGGGGGGTGTCCAAGAGGGGGGGGTGCAAATCATGACCGGTGGCACGTGCGCGGCCCAGCGGGGGGGCCAGGGGCGTCATGAAATAAGAAGAGGCGCCATGAAATCTGGGGACATATCATGGCCCCCGCCACGATATCCGCCCCCCCTAATCATCACCCCCTTTGCCGCCCCCGATCACTGGGTGGGCTGCCTCTGCGCAGCCCGGGGCCCTGGCAACCCGGCATGTCCGGGGAGGCCCTGCCCCGATCCCGCGGCCGCTTCTCCCGTGGGCGCCCCGTGCGGCTGCCGCGGCCTCTCCCGCCCCCGGCCCCGGCGCCACGGACACATTGCGACTGGCGTAGTTTTGTTGTTCCCCCCTTTGGGAGGCCTGGAAATGGGCACCAACACCAAGACAGAGGGCTGCCTCCACAGGGGGGAGGTGATCCTAGATTTCGGTGTTGGTGGTAATATTTCGGCCACCTTGGAAGGCAGAATAGTACCACCATCGCCGAGATCGGGATCTTCTTCCCTCGGTGGAGGAGCACCGCCGATCTTGGTGTTGGTGTCAACCTCTAGGCCTGCGACCCTTCCCACCCAGACCCCCGACGTCATCATTGTGTTCTTTACGTCGACCCCTGGAGGTCTCGACCCATTCCCCCTGGACCGGGTTTTCATCCCGAGTGGTTTTCTGACGGTCTCGAGGGCCAGTAAAGGCCCCCAGAGGCCGAAAATCACAGAAAATCTCCCGTTATGATTTGTTCATTGCCGGGGGGGGTCTGGGCACCCTGATGCTCCTGCTGCGTTTCCCCCACACATGCCCGCGTCGTCCACCCCGAGAACACGACGGGGGCCCTCCACAGGCCCCCCCACACGCACGAAGCCGCGCCTAGACGGCGCATCGGCACGGAAATACTGCGAACATGCACATCCGGGAAAACAATGGAAAAGTAAGTACGCCATGCAGGGGGAAAGGCATGTAATCACCAGCGGTCTTTGTACTTGGTGACCCGCTGTTCGTTAGCCTGCAAGCGAAACGTGCCAAGGGGAACAAGGGGAGAGGAGGAGGAGGAGGAGGAGGAAAAGGGAGGAGGAAGAGGAGTCTGGGTCTCTCAGCGTCCTCACAATGTGGAACCTTGCCGGGCCCTGGGGCCGTCAGCAGGTGGGCCCAGGGCCCGGGATGGAAGGCTCTCGGCCCCGTCCGCGGACGGGGTCGAGAGCTCCAAGGGGTCGTCCTGGTCATGGCGCGCGTTCCTCTGCTCAGGGCTTGCTTCCCGCATGCATCGACCACCCACCACCAATTCCTCGTCTTCTCTTCCCTCCTTTTGCATCTTGGCCATCCTTTTCTTCTTCCCCCTTGTTTGCCCTCTTTGCTGCTCCTCCTCATTTTGTTCCATCTTCTTTTTGCGGCAAAGGCTGCACACCCGCCGCCGTACTCACGATGAGGGCCGTATATCGCACAACTGTATGACAGATACGATTATGTGGCAACTCGTGGGGAACTCCCATACCAACTGGTTGACTCTTGCGAACCGACGCTAATCGACGCGAGCCGATGCTACATCGACGCCAATCGACGATGAGTCGGCGCTGTCTCAATTAACGATTACCAAACAGTCGCCGACAATAACAACAAACGGCATCAACATGAACTGTCGAGGGTCCGCGCGGATGTCTTGGATCTGCGCAAGGGGGCCTCAGCGCAGATCCAAAAACTCCGCGCGGAACGCCAACATATTATGTTTATGCCGCTTTTCATCGACACAATGCTTCCACGATTCGCTACCGAAGGACGCGTCGTATTCGTGCAAGGGTAAAGGTCGGGCGTGTCACGTCCCAGGCATGTCTTGCATCGGCGGCGAGGCAAGGGTCGTCCCCGCTAGCGGACTAGCCTAAACGGGGGTGCCGTCAGAGCGACTTGTGCCACCATGCAGGAGGGGGAAGAAGTGGATGGCGCGGCCGAAAAGAGGGGGCGGAGGGAGCGAGCCGCTCAGGGGGACGGGTCACGCCCCGAGCGCGTGGCGCGGCCAGCCCCGCCGGCGGGCCCTTGGCGGCTGCTGCACCGCGGGACCGGCGGCGGCGGGGCGCACTGCGCGGGTGGGAGCAGCCCCGGCACACGCAGGCGCACGGGGCACGGCAATGCAGCAGCGCGGCTCCGCGCAAACGCAGGCGACGCGCGAGGGCGCGGCGCGCTCCGGGGGCGCCGCAGCGCCGCGGCGAGGCGGCCGCGGGAAGAGCGGCGCGCGCTCGGGACAGCAGCGCAACGACACTTTTTGCGTTGGCGGCTCGGCAGAGTCACTGCGCCGGCGAGGAAGCAAAACGGGGCCGAGGCCGACGATCAGCGAATGGCCCCACCGTGCGGAAGTGGGGGGGGCAGCACAGCAACACACGTGGGAGAGTGTCAGCTGTGCGAGGCCCGCGGGCCCAAATGCAGCGCCCCTCTCACGGGGACTCCACTCACGGGCACTTTCGCCAGTGGCCCAGCGAACCCCTTCCTCCCCGCCGCGGGCACCGCCGCAATGCCAGAAAGAGGCCCTCGAGGGGCAACTCTCGGCAACTTTCCAAAGACGTCGTCAGTGAGTACCCGTTCCCAGACGTGCGACGTCCTGATGTTTGTCAGGGCGGCGCCCCTGGAAGTCCACAAACTTTCTCCGAGACTGGTTTTTCGCCCTGAATCATTCTTTGGCTGTCCCGAGGCCCGGCGAAGGCCCCCTGGAACCGAAAATAGCCAACAACCTCCCGTCCTGATGTTTGGACGACGCGGTCATGTCTGGGCCCGGTACGGTGCCGCTGACAGATGAGCAAGGCTCCGTGGCCGGGCGACCCGCGCAGCCGCGTGCTGTCCCGCTCGAGCGGCCTCCTGCCGCCTCCGGCGCGGAGGATCCCGCGGCGTCGCCGTCGCAACTTCTGCCGTCGCTCGGGCAGCTTGGGCAGATGCAGCAACAGGAGAGGAGGACGAGGCGGACGAGAGGGACGCATAAGGAGGAGGAGGAGGAGGAGGAGGAGGAGGAGGATTTTTCCCATGGTTTCCTACAGGCCGACGACCTAGGGAGGGGAGGGCAGGAGCGGGGGGGGGGGGCAGGGCGGCGACGGCGGGCGCGGGCAACCTGCAATAGGCGACCCGCAGCCCGCAGACCCAGACATTCGTGTCCGAGTCGGGCAGCAGCCCGCGTCGCAGCCACACCTGCAGATTATTGCTGCGACAGCCGCGGCTGGCGGCGTGAACGCAACAAACGACAGGCCCCACGCTGAGGGAGCGTGGGCCACACACAAATCCAGTGCCACGCGAAGCGTGCAGGATATATACACGAGCTCATATACACACAGGCAGGTTAGGTCTGATTCGCCAGGTGCCGACGCCAGATCCTCGAATGCCAGGCACGCGAAGCGTGTTGGATATGTATCGAAGGTGCTGGCGTAGGTGCTGCGTAGGTGCTGCGTAGGTGCTTCGTAGTGCAATGTCGAACGTGTCGTAGCGGAGCGCAAACTCAACCTCAACAACACCTGATCACACACAAATAATTTAGATATCAAATCTCCAGTGCGCCTCTATCAAGAGAACTATAGGTCGCGCGGAGCGCAGTATATCATTCCCGAACAAGCACGAACTCAACGAATGAAATATCAAATGCAAGCGTGCTGCGTAGGTGCTGGCGTAGGTGCAGCGTAGGTGCTGCGTCGATCATGTCGAAGCGGTGCACGAACTCAACTACAACAAATTCACACAGTGAAAGCGGGAGACATCATCGGCTACGACTGAGAGCGATAGTCTTGCCACGCGCAGCGTGCGGAATATAAGAGAGTTGATCGAACACTTGACTCCCCAAAGAATGTCAGGCCGCGCGTAGCGCTCTGAATATAATACACAAGAATGACAAGTGCTGGCGTAGTGCTGCGTAGGTGCTGGCGTAGGTGCTGCGTAGGTGCTGCGTGGTGCTGCGTCGATCATGCCGA